AAGTAATAAAGTAACAACAGAAATATATATTTAAAATATATATAAATGTATATAAATTTGGTATATATGTAGTATATATATATATATATATATATATATATATAAAATATTTGATATATTTTGATAATGTGATAAAATTGCAAAGAATTAAAATAAATAATTTATAAAATAATTGTATTTTTAATTTTTTATATTATATACTTAATAATTGAAATTGCTGATATATATACAGCCTATACATATTAACCTATATATTATATTCTTTTATCGATTATATTCTTATTGACACAATATCGATTATACGTAAAATTTATCTAAAATGAAATAATTTAATTCTTAAAGACTTTTTTTACTTTATTAATTAACCAATAATATTTAAGATATAAAATTCTACACTCTTTTTACTTTATTAATTAATCAATAATATTTAAGATATAAAGTTCCTAGAATAACTATTTTTTGATTTAACTATTTCTAGGATAACACTATTTTTTGATATGATATGATATCGAGATATGATTTCAAAAAATAAGAAAAAAAGATTCAATTTAAATTTCAAGATTAAAAAAATAAAATTTTGCACCATCAAGTAAAACATAATAAGAACTTTTCACCAAGTCTCACGAATTTCACGAAAAGTTTGGTACGAATAATTTGAGATCGATGTGCGCGCGAAACGAAGCTAGAGAGTTACACGTTTTAGTTCCAATTAAAATGGTCGAAGTGGTGGACGAATTTACGACGAGTTGATTAATGGACCGGCGAAGTATTTGTCACGTTGTTTACGAACAGCCGAAAGAATAAGTTGACTGGTATATAACTGACCGTTGGATGGCCAGATTTATTACGTTATTATCGATCCGTGGCTTACGGAAATGGCGGAAAACTGTAATTGAATGACACGAAGTATTCAAGAAAAAGAAACGAAATTTCTCGAATATGCAAGATTAGTCGAAATCGATCGAAGTATAATGTCTTGAATCGTGTAATCGATGAACGATTCGGTTAAAAAAAGTTCGTTATTTGATAGTTATTGATGTGATGAACTGAATTTGTGAAATTTATTTCGGTTAATGAAGATTTAAAGATGATAAATTAGATTAGATTACTGATTAGTTAAGGATAGGTTAGATTAATGATTCAAAGTGAATGTTTGGAGAATTCAGAAGTCAATCAGTAATGATTTATGTTAAGAAATGAAATTTATGATCCTATGGTCTATTGAAACTTTTATATGTAAGTAAAAAATCATTTTGTGTATTTTTATTAGCATTAATATCTTTTTGCGACTAATTTTTAAGAATTTTAATTCTATTTTTATCATCGATTTATATTGATTGATTGTTGAATTCTCTTTATTAGAAGACAATACAATAATATCATTTATTAAAATAATAAAATTCAATGAATAATATTAATATAGATTATAATAAATCAAAGAAAAAGTAAATTAAACCTATTTTTTCAATTTTAAATTAGAATAACCTCATTTTTGAAATTTAATCTTTCAATAGTTATATTAATTATATTAGAAAATCATAACAATTTTACAATTCTTTTATAAATTATTTTTAGACATTCTAAATATTATTTATTAGAATAATTAAACAATTTAATTATATTAAATAATAATAATTAAATAATAGATTAATGTAGGTTTATGATAAATTAAAGAATTAAGATTAAATTAAACAAATAATATTTTGTGCTTAATATTTTGTTTTTAATATAAAATATGTAACCTTATTTCTGTGAGATTCAATATTCCAATAAATTTCTTTCCCAAAATCTTTCCAAAAATTACCTTGAAACATTCTCTAATCTCTAATATTATTAGAATAATAAAATTCAATGAAAAATATGTTAACAATAAAATATATAAGGTTATAATAAATTAAAAAAAAAGCTTAATTTTGTCTTAATTTTGAATTAGAATAACCTCATTTTTGAGATTCATTATTTCAATTGTTATATTAGTCATATTAGAAAATCATAAGTTCTATAATTCTTTCATAGGTTACATTTAGACACCTTAACCTCTAATATTATTTATTAGAACAATTAAACAAATTCAATAAATAATAGATTAATGTAGTTTATAATTAATTAAAAAACAAATAGATTGATACCTAATTTTTTAGTTTAAATATAAAATATGTAGCCTTATTTCTGTGAGATATAATAAATTTCATACCTTTTAAAAGTTATCTTCAGATATTCTAATCTGTAATATTGTTTATTAAAACAACAAAATTCAATAAATGATATATTAATAATAAAATATATAGAATTAAAGAAAATATAATAAATTATAATAAAATAAATATTAATAAATTAAAATATAATAAATTAAAGAAAAAGTAGATTATATCTAATTTTTTAGTTTTAAATTAGAACAATTTCATATTAGAAAGTCAATTAACAATTCTATAATTCTTTTATAAGTTATTTTTAAATATCCTAACCTTTAATATTATTTATTAGAACAATTAAACAAATTCAATAAATAATAGATTAATGTAGTTTATAATTAATTAAAAAATAAATAGATTGTACCTAATTTTTTACTTTAAATATAGAATATATAGCCTTATTTCTGTGAGATATAATAAATTTCATATCTTTTTAAAAGTTATCTTCAGATATTTTAATCTGTAATATTGTTTATTAAAACAACAAAATTCAATAAATGATATATTAATAATAAAATATATAGAATTAAAGAAAATATAATAAATTATAATAAAATAAATATAATAAATTAAAATATAATAAATTAAAGAAAAAGCAGATTATATCTAATTTTTTAATTTTAAATTAGAACAATTTCATATTAGAAAGTCAATTAACAATTCTATAATTCTTTATATAATTCTATAATTCTTTTATAAGTTATTTTTAAATATCCTAACCTTTAATATTATTTATTAGAACAATTAAACAATTCAATAAATAATAATTAATAAAAAATTAGTTAAATAATAGATATATTTATGATAACTTAGAAAACAAATAGAATGAACCTAGTTTCTTTATTTCTGTGAGGTCTAATATTCTAATGGATTTCATATCAATTATGTTAGATCATAATAATTTTACAAAAATTCTTTTAAAAGTTATTTTGAGATATTCTAAACTCTAATGCTTAGGTTTAATTTATTGGAATAATTAAATAATTCAATAAATAACATATTAATATAGATTGTAATAAATTAAAGAAAAAATAGACTGAGGTTAATTTTTTATTTTTAATATAGAATATATAACCTTATTTCTATAAAATTCAATATTCTATGAACTTCATATTAATTATATTAAAAAAACTATAATAACTTTACAATTCTTTTAAAAGTTATTTTGAAATATTCCAATCTTTAATATTATTTATTAAAATAACTAAACAATTTAATA